TTATCAGGATGTCAAGGTTTGAAAATGTATCTTTAAGGTTCTTTTGATTTAAAAATGTTAAACAAGATGTCATGGTGGTCAAAGACATAGCATGATCAATAAGTTATTTATCTACATTACTCAGAGAATTGCATAAGGATTGGCAAGAAATTAAACAAGTTAATAGTTGAATTCTAATTAACATAAATACTTAACCGAACAATACAACACTCAACAAGGGTTCTAGCTTTGATGACCAGAAGCAGAAATTTTCTCTCTTGTGGCTGAACTGAACTTATTAGATGGAGGGTTCTTCTCCAAGCAAAACTTCCCTGAAAATAGCTTCACATAAAACTTTTTCATGAATCAGTAGATGACCGCCATCAGAAACTTCATGATACTGAATCCAAGGTAGCTTCTTCGCAACATAACGCTGCAGTTCAAATGGCACAAGCTTGTCTGCATAACCTTCCCACAGGTGGACAGATACCTCATTGTTAGGAAATGGATTCTGTAGCTCCATTGGATCAAAGTCCCATTTACCAAAATGCACCATGATGTCTCGAGTAAGAGATTCATAAATGCCTTGCTGCCGAATCTTATACTGTAATTAATAACATAATCATGTCAAAATTTCTACTAGTAAAAATTCTCTGAATTCTTATAAAGATAGGAAGAAAGAAGTTACCTCATCAGGATTTGGTACTTGTGACATTTGCTTTACAGTTTCTACATCTCGCTTATTGAAAAGAATTGGGTGCCTCTCCATGATGGATGAATAAGGAAACCATTTCTGGGTTAACCACCAATATAATAGTGAAGGGGCATGGTGTGCTATGGAAAGTTTCATTTGGTCTCTGATAAGTTGCTGTTTGAAGACTTTATTCGCCAGTTCCGAAGGAAAAGAGGGCCACCAGAAGTTAATCACTGGAACTACTAGAGTTACACCAGCAAGCCTGCAAAGAACGGTTTTAGACAAGTATATTAGTCTTGGTTCTATATAAATATGTATGATGTCTCAAATCTTGAAAGTTCATTTACAATTGCATCCAAAGTTAATAGTATAGATGGATTTTTTCGGAATTTGTCAATTATAATTACTTTATAGTTCACATCATAAGTTCACAACAGAAGCATATGAGGGTTAGAAGGAAGAATTAGAAAAGGGAAACATGCCTGTGTGGTATGTATTTGAGACAAGCCCAAACGGGGTATGTTCCAATGGAGACCCCAATAAGGTAAAACTTGGGGCCTAGATGCAGCTGATCAGCAAGTTCTTGAATGTCGAATGCTTCGCTCTTCACCGAGCGTTCGGGGTTTGGATCACTCTCCCCATACCCAGCTCTATCAAATGTCAAAACACATACACCCAGTTCATTCATCACCTCCTGCAAGCCAATAACATCTTACATTCATTTTGTATTCTATAAATGTACCGGTACCATGCCTATGTTCCAAACCCGATGCAAAATTATTTGACATTAACATTTGCAAAATATAAGCGTAGAGTTGAATTTTGATCCGATAATTGCTAAACAAATTTTCATACAAAACTTATTGCTTTCCATCAGCATGATATAGTGTAGGTATGCATATGCTTTCCCAGAGAAATAAAATCTAACTATATTGAAAGTATTTTTACACTTTTCAATTGCCCCCAAGTTGGTGCTGCTCTGATACAAATTGAAACAACCACAATTGAGTAGAACTTACCCTTAAAATCCGGCTTGTAAGGGATGGTATCTACATGGTTAGTAACCCATATGCCAAGCTCATTCTTTAGTGATGTGGGACAAGATTAGGATTGTTACACAATTTGCTTTAACTCTATTTCTATGGATTATGTAACCTTATGCCGAAAATTTTACTTCATATGAGTAATTTTACATGGATGATGATTTCAATTGGCCAAAATACCGACAATTCATGACTTAGAAGGCTATAATATAATTGCAGATCGGAAGTTATATGAGTAAGAAGGTGGGTTTAGAGTAGAGTACATACTTGAGAAAGAGGCAAATAAATGTCCTTGGAGCTGTCAAAACCGTGGACAAGGATGAGTTTGTACTTGGCATTTTCCCTTGGAACACCTCTTTCTCTGAAGGCCAAATTCCTTCCATCACTAAGCTTGATTCTTGGTGATTTAACAGGAGGACCATTGGGTGTTCCACAAATTTTTGAAGGTGGAGGCTTTATGCTCTTATATGCATACACCAGAACTCCCACTCCTAACACCACTACTGCCACACCAAACATCACTCACTGCAGATAAAATACAAAGACAATATAATGATCATACTTGGAAAATATTGAATCAACAAAGACAAAAAACAGAATCATAAAAGAACAAACATGTTTAACTGGAAGAGCTATGGGAAAACCAACCTGAAGAATGGCAAATTATGTTTGGGTTTTAGGCACTTAACCCATCTCAAGCTTTTAAATTAAGCAAATAGTTTGGTTGATTTTCACTGTTGCCACAGTACGTGCCCGTGTTTGACTGGTAGACATAATTCTCCTTCAAAGTTGTGTTTGTAACAATTTCCAAACATAAGAAAAATAGAATATTTGGTACACCCAAGTTTACATATGACTTTTAATTATCAAAGTGGTTTCATCTCCTGGATAGTTCTATGCTTGCTGATTGTTCACTTTTACAAAAATATGTAGGCATTGCTGATACCAGTAAAGCTTATTCCTTTCTCAATGTTGCTGCTAATTGGGGTAGGTGAAAGAAACGTGTAGTCAATTGGAAATACCTTGGTCAACCCTGTGTGTTGGGGAGTTAGCTGCAACTCTTTATTAGGTTACACCTAATACCTACCTCTATAGTAAAGAATTTATGAACTTTCCACAAAACATCCCTACATTCTAAATGGTAATAATAAGTATTGTAATTTGTAAATGATATCTAGGACTCATTAGGTCAGACAGATTTTGTTTGAATTAATACTATAAAGTATTTGTGAATAGTATATAATAAATAAGTTCAAATTTCATTATTAAATTAATTCACACATAGATATTTATATTTATAATAACAAAAAATTAATAAAAAAATTCCAAAAAATTAATTAATGAAATGAATGATTATGGAAGTAAAAGTGCTATTATCACAGCTCATAAAGGTTAATATTATTTTGGATAATTTTTTTTATAAGCTTCTATTCTACAACATTTAAATACAAAGATATTAAAACTGTTTTGTAGCTATCACTTATTAAAAGTAAAAATAAAATGGAAAGTGTCTTAAGTTGAAACTAGCTCCTTTGATAATACGAATTCAAGTAAATGAAGAGGAAGATAAAACGGATAAAACTACATATGGCTTCCAGTATATTATTTTAGGTAAGCATCACAACACAAATTCTTAGCTTATGAAGATCCAGATTTAGGAACATTTTATTTACATACTGGAACCTCAAGAAAATTCCTCTCTATGAGACCATTACAACAAGAATATTTAGCATCAAAACATGGAACAATTTTCTTATAGCTAAGTTCAAGAGCATGCATTAAACCCAGAAGACAAGGGGCCTAGCTGAGCAAAAGTGCTTTCAGAACGGCTTCACAGTTTTTGTTCTCGAACATAAGCAAATGTCCAGCATCTGCAACCTCATGATACTGTATCCATGGAACCTTCTCCGAGATATAACGATTTATTTCAATAGGAATGATTCTGTCCTCAAAACCTTGCCAGATGTGGACTGGCCTCTCATTGTCAGGAAAAGGATTACTTAGATCCATGGGATCAAATTCCCATTTCGCATAGCCTGTTATTATGTCTTGATATAGACACTCGTAAACACCTTGCTGTCTAATCTTTTCCTGTTGCAGAAACATAACCAAGAATCATCAGGTGAAGGTTTAAGCTCCAGCAATAATATGCCAGTTTGAAATTGGAAAAGAAAACAAATAGACAGAACTTAATCTGATAGTCATCAAAGTATTACTTAATCTGATAATCATCAAAGTATTATATTTCTTTGATGTGTTAATTAAACATGTATTGACATCTCATATGTAATTGAAGAAAATCAAGAAATTCAAGATGATTGAAAGTTCCAGTCACTTGTCATAATGTAAATGCAGGCAGTTATAAAATAGAATACCAAACAACCAGTATACCATGACTATAGACAAATAACTATTTATTTCGAATTTAACCATGGGCTGATGGGACATTCAAGGCATATTCAGTGAAATAATTGCTCTTTTAAGTGCAAACCAACAATGTGCAAGAAATTAACTACCTGACCGACTATAGGGGATTCTGACAACTTCTTCAAGATCTCCAAATCTCGGGGACTAAAAACTGACAAATTACCATTCATAATGCTCCATTTCTTAGACATCCACCAGTTGATTAACCAAGGAAAGTGATGAGCAACCCGAAATGTCATTTGGTACTGCACAGGCAGCTTTTTGAAGGCTTCTTTAGCTAAATTGGCAGGAAGACAGGGCCACCAGTAGTGCACAAATGGAACCACCAGGGAAGCTCCAGATAACCTGTGAAGAAGACTCGAAGAATTAGAAGACTTGAATTTGAAAGTGTCAAAAAAGGGAAAGGAGCAACAAGAAGCAATATTCTATGTATCAAACTTGCCTATGCGGTATGTATTTTAGGCAACCATAAACAGGATATGCCCCCATTGATATACCAATTACATAGAACCTAGATCCAATCTCCAACTTGTCTGCTAGTTCTTGAATATCATTTGCTTCACTCTTCACTGAACGTGATGGATCTGGATCACTCTCGCCATAACCTGGTCGGTCGAAGAACAAGATATAAATCTTGAGCTCCTCTATAAGCTCCTGAAAATTAAAGCATAATGAAGAATTTACCATATTTCAAAGCATGATATCAATTATATCAATGCAGCAAGGAAAAGATATGCAAATTCTGAAATAAAAGCATGTGAATGATATACTGTATGACCAATCATGCCTTTGTTTATACAGAATTACTTTGTGGCTATTGATGATCCATAAACAACTTACATAATTCATTGATGGTGACATAGTCTAATACATTAATCTTGGTTTTCAACATGTATACATACATATTATTCACCACAAGCATATAAGTATATGCAGATGCAGATGATACAATTGCTACTTGACAAAGAACTGGAAAGATTTCACTCAATTTTACTGTATCTTTCTGACTATCCAAAAGATATGATAGTTCAAATTTCTAATATCGTTGGACACAGTATTGCATAAACACCTGCATGTTTCTAACATCTCTATCTCACAGCTGGTTGTTCAAGGATCTGAACCAATCATGTTTATTGTCAATCCCAAAAAAGAAAAATAATTTGACCAGGTCTATCTTTTGTTTCTTTCAGTATTAGCCTGAAATAAATGAGACTAATGTTTCAATTAGCCATCCAGCCAAGCTGTGATTTTGGACAATGTAAATATCGAAAAACTAAAACACAGCCACAACTTTAAACAAATTTAAAACAAGGTGCAGGGTTTTAAGAAGCATCATCAGTTCATACTTGAGGGATGGGTAAACTGAGATCTTTGGAGCTGTCAAAGCCATGAACGATGATGATTTTGTATTTGGCCTCCTCCTTGGCAACCCCAGTTTCTCGATAAGCCAAATGCCTCCCATCACTGAGTTTTACTCTTGGTGAAGTAACAGGTGGACCACCTGGTGACCCACATATCTTTGGAGGAGGAGGTTTTATTGCCTGATAAGCCCACCCCAAAAGACCCACTGCCAAGGCCACTGCTATTGGTGCAAACATTTCTGGAGAAGTATAACACTGTATTAATCATGTCAGCAACAAAATAACTTAAAGAGGAAAGAAGTATAAAGGAGTTGACTAAATTCATCCAAACATAGGAATGATATTCATAAAGATTGACCATGACAATATGTTTTAAAGGAAAATGAATTAAGAAGTACCAATAAAAGGTATGCAGAGCATATTTTCCTTGAGCTTCTGGGGTGTTATAAGTTATGCTTTAGGCCACTTATTCTTCTTGGGTATCAAATAACATATTCGATTCATGGTCACCGTTAATAGTTTTGATGACCAAGAATACTTCTACATGATTATCAGTGGTTATTCCTTATTGGTAGCTCAGTACATATCAGTTGAAAAGGGAGGAAAAAATAAGATCATAGGAATTTGGACAATTAATACATGGAAGTTAGCCTTTTAAGAATACAGTGGGTTTGAATATGTAATATCCCTATATGATAAAACCAAGGGAGAAACTAATGTAATTTGTTCTTGAATAAATGCTTTAGAAACAACAAACTATACAAAATCCAAAGGGAAAAATTCATAAATAATTTCTTTCACTCTCCTAAATGTTTATATTCATTTCAACAAACATTTCCAAACTTCTACGTTTGAAGATGATATTTTCAAACAATTTAACAATTGATTCAGTTAGTCCAGTGATTTCCATCAGTGATTAATGCTCTCTATTGAATTTACAAACAGAGACAACATTGTACTACAGGCTTTCATTCATCCATAATCACACCCACCAGACATACTGCACTTCCACTAATGAGTGAGCTAAGCCGATTACCAAGATGACCAGCATGACTTTCAGTGCAATAAGTTTGGTTTAGCCTCACCTCTTCTCTATTTTAAGCAGTACATCAATGTCAACAACTGTATGTTGTCATAGAAAATACAGATAAATTATTTAGGGTGCAATTGCGTGTTCCAACTTCAAGGTGATCAACGAGCTACCTAAAAGCATCATCATATGCTATTCAACAAGTTTTCTATGCATTTCTTCGTAGTCCTGAGTACTTGGACTACTACTAATACAGGTATTCCGATGTCAACCTCATAACATATGCACCTTGCCACCTTGGCAAGTTCAAGTACTTTCATGCAAACTAATACAAAATAGAAACAACAAAACTTCTGATTCAGTTCAGCAATGCCAGATTTCATTGTGGTAACAGAAATCATAAGCGTTTTAATCTATGAATCTTAAAGATTTAATTCGATTCTTTTCTTGATCAACAAAAAAGAAAAAACAGAATCAAATGAAATTCACATGGAAAAGGTACTTGCAACTTAAACAAACTCAACCCAGAAATCTAAATAAATTCATACCCTTTGATCCAATCACTAAAACGAACAGCAACTAAAGTGGAAACTATTGTGATAAATCTATCCACTAGAGAAGTAAAGATAAAATAAATTTAGTACAGTGAAAAATAAAAAGAAAGAACGAAACCCAGAAACCAGAACTCAAGCGAAAGAAAGTGAACAGAAGTGAAAAACGAACCTGGAGGAATTGGGTATGGACTGGTTATAACTTTGATAGTTCTTGAACTGAGCACTCAGTGATGCCGCTACTAATAGTAGTATCTTCTTGACTCAAAGCTGTTATTCTTTGCTTAGAAGTAAAAGAATTTCACTTGGACATGGAAAATGGAAAAGACACACCAAAGCATCTCATCCGCAAATGAGATGGTGCCAAGCCAAATTATCTTTCAGGGAAAAAACCAATGTGCTGCCAAAACCGGATGTCAATATCTGATAGTGGAATGACTCTTTCAACTTCAAATCTAATTTTGCATCTTGCTTCAGATAAAATAGTAATTTTCATACGGTACCTCAAATGTCCATGAAGCCCATGTTTTCATGCGTATCAATTCTGCAATTACTAACAATAGTATTCTAGTAAATTTGATAAAGTTTAGCGGTATTTTCTTTTTTTTATTAATTTGGGCTTCATAATTCTAAACTGCCCAGTAAAAATATTGCTAGCAAAAAAAAAAAAAAAAAAAAGTCAATGACCTAATGGTTTAAATAATTCATACACCAAAAACTTACAGACAATGATTTGATTGAACGTGCCATGTGAAGTGAAAATGACGAGATCCAATCCAGTAAGAGTCGTGAAGAATTGTGTTTATTCTCATAGCTATTGATAATTATGCTGCAATATGATACACCTTGATTCAGAAATCTATTACTTATTCAACCTTTTTAAACATAGTCCAAATTTGTGGATCCAAAAGTCTTATAAAACGATTTTGGTAAGAAAACGTGTTTGAAAGATCTCACTAAAGTGAACGGATCAATGAAATAAATGGTAGGACTTTTGATGAACAAGGCACAGTTGCCAGTTGCCATTGACAGGGAAGCTGTTTAATAAGCCATTACTAAAATGGAAGTCCAAATCGTTTTCTTGATAAATTTACAATAGAAGGCACCAGAAGTTAAAATAGCCTGAATTTATGGCTGTTAGAAGTCTATTTACCAAGTATACCAGCTTAATTTACAACTCTTTACAGGGTGTAAAGCAATTTCACCAGTAGTCTTTGCAGGAACAAGAACCATTGTCAAAATGATGGAAACGATTTTGATCTCTCACAATAATGCGATGTCTACAAACCTTAGAAACCAGCTTCATGAAGCTATGACAGTCGCAGCAAATCCTAAGGTTCTTTACTATGTGAATAGGAGTATCCTTGCTTGTGTTTAGTAGTCCAAATGCTAGTGCCATCTTCTCACTATGAAGGTAAAGCAAACTTTCTTTACTATTCTCCTCAACATCTTGAAGAACTTGACTCAGGTCAGGCTCATATCCTTCCAACTTTAGCCTTGAAACTAACTGCTCTATCTTTACGATAATCTCACTATTATATCTTAAATCCATGTCTTTTGCAACGAGGAATTGATGAACCTTCCCATCTATAAGGATTGAACTGCACCCAGGAATTTTTCTTACACCTCTGTGTTTCATCAGTAGTCTAACCTTGCTAACATCATCCCATCTTCCAGCCTTGGCATAAATATTTGATAGCAAAACATAACTACTTGAGTCTTTTGGGTCCAACTTTATTGCTTGTATGGCAGCAATTTCACCGATGACAACATTACTGAGCTTCACACTGGCACTAAGGAGAGACTTCCAAGCTAAAACATCAGCCTCTATAGGCATATGTTGTATAACTGCAAGTGCATCAGCTAAATATCCTGCCCTGCCATATAGATCAACCAGACATCCATAGTGTTGAAGCTTAGGAACAATGTTGTACTTCTCTTGCATGATTTTGAAATAAAATTGGCCCTCATCGACTAAACCTGCATGACCGAAAGCATTCAAGAGCCCCACGAAAGTAATCTCATCGGGCTTAATATCCATCCTTTCCAAGTCAAGAAAGATTTCAAGGGCTTGTTGACCAAGGCCATTGATTGCAAGACCAGATATCATAGAATTCCAATCCCCAATGTTTCTTTCACGCGATACTCTCCCAAAGATATCATATGCATTCTCTATGTAACCACATTTCGAGTACATATCTATTAGCGCAGATGCAATGAACCCAGAACTCAATTTCATCTTATTTGCAGATATATAAGCATGCAACCATTTCCCTTCTTGAATGAAACCCAAATCAGCAATGGCTGCAAGAACGCTAACAATAGCAGGAACATCAGGTTTAACTCCTAGACTCAACATCTCTCTAAATAAATCCAATGCTTCAATAGGACGATGATTACTCACATACGCAGAAATCATTGATGTCCAAGTAATCACATCCTTTTCGCTCGTCATCCTAAAAACCTCCTCAGCAAGCTCACAGCTCCCAGACTTACCATATCCATCAATCATCGCATTACAAGAAACCAAGTCCCTTTCAGGCATCTCCTCAAACAACCTACTTGCCAACTCAATCTCCCCCACCCTCAAGTAACCCGAGAGCATTGAATTCCAAGAAATCAAATCTTTCTCAGGCATTTTATCAAACACGAGTCTGGCCGACTCAATCTCCCCCAGTTCTAAGTACATTCTAACCACAGAATTGGACACAAATGGATCACACAACAAATGGGTTTTCAAGACTTGGGCAAAAACTTGCTGCCCTTCTTTAATTGCACTCAATTTACCACAGGCTTTTAACACACAAGTGCTTTAGAAACAACAAACTATACAAAATCCAAAGGGAAAAATTCATAAATAATTTCTTTCACCTCTCCTAAATGTTTATATTCATTTCAACAAACATTTCCCAACTTTACGTTTGAGATGATATTTTCAAACAATTTAACAATTGATTCAGTTGTCCGTGATTTCCATCAGTGATTAATGCTTCTATTGAATTTACAAACAGAGACAACATTGTAATACAGGCTTTCATTCATCCATAATCACACCCACCAGACATACTGCACCCACATGAGTGAGCTAAGCCGATTACCAAGATGACCAGCAACTTTCAGTGATAAGTTTGGTTTAGCCTCACCTCTTCTCTATTTTAAGCAGACATCAATGTCAACAACTGTATGTTGTCATAGAAAATACAGATAAATTATTGGGTGCAATTGCGTGTTCCAACTTCAAGGTGATCAACGAGCTAACTAAAAGCATATCATATGCTATCAAAAAGTTTTCTTGCATTTCTGTAGTCCTGAGTACTTGGACTACTACTAATACAGGTATTCCGATGTCAACCTCATAACATATGCACCTTGCCACACTTGGCAAGTTCAAGTACTTTCATGCAAACTAATAAAAATAGAAACAACAAAACTTCTGATTCAGTTCAGCAATGCCAGATTTCATGTGGTAACAGAAATCATAAGCGTTTTAATCTATGAATCTTAAAGATTTAATTCGTTCTTCTTGATCAACAAAAAAGAAAAAACAGAATCAAATGAAATTCACATGAAAAGGTACTTGCAACTTAAACAACTCAACCCAGAATCTAAATAAATTCATACCCTTTGACCAATCAATAAACGAACAGCAACTAAAGTGGAAACTATTGTGATAAATCTATCCACTAGAGAAGTAAAGATAAAATAAATTAGTACAGTGAAAAATAAAAGAAAGAACGAAACCCAGAAACAGAACTCAAGCGAAAGAAAGTGAACAGAAGTGAAAAACGAACCTGGAGGAATTGGGTATGGACTGGTTATAACTTGATAGTTCTGAATGAGCAATCAGTGATGCCGCTCTAATAGTAGTATCTTCTTGACTCAAAGCTGGTATTCTTTGCTTAGAAGTAAAAGAATTTCACTGTTTCGCATAGCCTGTTATTATGTCTTGATATAGACACTCGTAAACACCTTGCTGTCTAATCTTTTCCTGTTGCAGAAACATAACCAAGAATCATCAGGTGAAGGTTTAAGCTCCAGCAATAATATGCCAGTTTGAAATTGGAAAAGAAAACAAATAGACAGAACTTAATCTGATAGTCATCAAAGTATTACTTAATCTGATAATCATCAAAGTATTATATTTCTTTGATGTGTTAATTAAACATGTATTGACATCTCATATGTAATTGAAGAAAATCAAGAAATTCAAGATGATTGAAAGTTCCAGTCACTTGTCATAATGTAAATGCAGGCAGTTATAAAATAGAATACCAAACAACCAGTATACCATGACTACAGACAAATAACCCTTTATTTCAAATTTAACCATGGGTTGATGGGACATTCAAGGCATATTCAGTGAAATAATTGCTCTTTTAAGTGCAAACCAACAATGTGCAAGAAATTAACTACCTGACCGACTATAGGTGATTCTGACAACTTCTTCAAGATCTCCAAATCTCGGGGACTAAAAACTGACAAATTACCATTCATAATGCTCCATTTCTTAGACATCCACCAGTTGATTAACCAAGGAAAGTGATGAGCAACCCGAAATGTCATTTGGTACTGCACAGGCAGCTTTTTGAAGGCTTCTTTAGCTAAATTGGCAGGAAGACAGGGCCACCAGTAGTGCACAAATGGAACCACCAGGGAAGCTCCAGATAACCTGTGAAGAAGACTCGAAGAATTAGAAGACTTGAATTTGAAAGTGTCAAAAAAGGGAAAGGAGCAACAAGAAGCAATATTCTATGTATCAAACTTGCCTATGCGGTATGTATTTTAGGCAACCATAAACAGGATATGCCCCCATTGATATACCAATTACATAGAACCTAGATCCAATCTCCAACTTGTCTGCTAGTTCTTGAATATCATTTGCTTCACTCTTCACTGACCGTGATGGATCTGGATCACTCTCGCCATAACCTGGTCGGTCGAAGAACAAGATATAAATCTTGAGCTCCTCTATAAGCTCCTGAAAATTAAAGCATAATGAAGAATTTACCATATTTCAAAGCATGATATCAATTATATCAATGCAGCAAGGAAAAGATATGCAAATTCTGAAATAAAAGCATGTGAATGATATACTGTATGACCAATCATGCCTTTGTTTATACAGAATTACTTTGTGGCTATTGATGATCCATAAACAACTTACATAATTCATTGATGGTGACATAGTCTAATACATTAATCTTGGTTTTCAACATGTATACATACATATTATTCACCACAAGCATATAAGTATATGCAGATGCAGATGATACAATTGCTACTTGACAAAGAACTGGAAAGATTTCACTCAATTTTACTGTATCTTTCTGACTATCCAAAAGATATGATAGTTCAAATTTCTAATATCGTTGGACACAGTATTGCATAAACACCTGCATGTTTCTAACATCTCTATCTCACAGCTGGTTGTTCAAGGATCTGAAACAATCATGTTTATTGTCAATCCCAAAAAAGAAAAATAATTTGACCAGGACTATTTTTTGTTTCTTTCAGTATTAGCCTGAAATAAATGAGACTAATGTTTCAATTAGCCATCCAGCCAAGCTGTGATTTTGGACAATGTAAATATCGAAAAACTAAAACACAGCCACAACTTTAAACAAATTAAAAACAAGGTGCAGGGTTTTAAGAAGCATCATCAGTTCATACTTGAGGGATGGGTAAACTGAGATCTTTGGAGCTGTCAAAGCCATGAACGATGATGATTTTGTATTTGGCCTCCTCCTTGGCAACCCCAGTTTCTCGATAAGCCAAATGCCTCCCATCACTGAGTTTTACTCTTGGTGAAGTAACAGGTGGACCACCTGGTGACCCACATATCTTTGGAGGAGGAGGTTTTATTGCCTGATAAGCCCACCCCAAAAGACCCACTGCCAAGGCCACTGCTATTGGTGCAAACATTTCTGGAGAAGTATAACACTGTATTAATCATGTCAGCAACAAAATAACTTAAAGAGGAAAGAAGTATAAAGGAGTTGACTAAATTCATCCAAACATAGGAATGATACTCATAAAGATTGACCATGACAATATGTTTTAAAGGAAAATGAATTACGAAGTACCAATAAAAGGTATGCAGAGCATATTTTCCTTGAGCTTCTGGGGTGTTATAAGTTATGCTTTAGGCCACTTATTCTTCTTGGGTATCAAATAACATATTCGATTCATGGTCACCGTTAATAGTTTTGATGACCAAGAATACTTCTACATGATTATCAGTGGTTATTCCTTATTGGTAGCTCAGTACATATCAGTTGAAAAGGGAGGAAAAAATAAGATCATAGGAATTTGGACAATTAATACATGGAAGTTAGCCTTTTAAGAATACAGTGGGTTTGAATATGTAATATCCCTATATGATAAAACCAAGGGAGAAACTAATGTAATTTGTTCTTGAATAAATGCTTTAGAAACAACAAACTATACAAAATCCAAAGGGAAAAATTCATAAATAATTTCTTTCACTCTCCTAAATGTTTATATTCATTTCAACAAACATTTCCAAACTTCTACGTTTGAAGATGATATTTTCAAACAATTTAACAATTGATACAGTTAGTCCGGTGATTTCCATCAGTGATTAATGATCTCTATTGAATTTACAAACAGAGACAACATTGTACTACAGGCTTTCATTCATCCATAATCACACCCACCAGACATACTGCACTTCCACTAATGAGTGAGCTAAGCCGATTACCAAGATGACCAGCAACTTTCAGTGTAATAAGTTTGGTTTAGCCTCACCTCTTCTCTATTTTAAGCAGTACATCAATGTCAACAACTGTATGTTGTCATAGAAAATACAGATAAATTATTTTGGGTGCAATTGCGTGTTCCAACTTCACGGTGATCAACGAGCTACCTAAAAGCATCATCATATGCTATTCAACAAGTTTTCTTTGCATTTCTTCGTAGTCCTGAGTACTTGGACTACTACTAATACAGGTATTCCGATGTCAACCTCATAACATATGCACCTTGCCACCTTGGCAAGTTCAAGTACTTTCATGCAAACTAATATAAAATAGAAACAACAAAACTTCTGATTCAGTTCAGCAATGCCAGATTTCATTGTGGTAACAGAAATCATAAGCGTTTTAATCTATGAATCTTAAAGATTTAATTCGATTCTTTTCTTGATCAACAAAAAAGAAAAAACAGAATCAAATGAAATTCACATAGAAAAGGTACTTGCAACTTAAACAAACTCAACCCAGAAATCTAAATAAATTCATACCCTTTGATCCAATCACTAAAACGAACAGCAACTAAAGTGGAAACTATTGTGATAAATCTATCCACTAGAGAAGTAAAGATAAAATAAATTTAGTACAGTGAAAAATAAAAAGAAAGAACGAAACCCAGAAACCAGAACTCAAGCGAAAGAAAGTGAACAGAAGTGAAAAACGAACCTGGAGGAATTGGGTATGGACTGGTTATAACTTTGATAGTTCTTGAACTGAGCACTCAGTGATGCCGCTACTAATAGTAGTATCTTCTTGACTCAAAGCTGTTATTCTTTGCTTAGAAGTAAAAGAATTTCACTTGGACATGGAAAATGGAAAAGACACACCAAAGCATCTCATCCGCAAATGAGATGGTGCCAAGCCAAATTATCTTTCAGGGAAAAAACCAATGTGCTGCCAAAACCGGATGTCAATATCTGATAGTGGAATGACTCTTTCAACTTCAAATCTAATTTTGCATCTTGCTTCAGATAAAATAGTAATTTTCATACGGTACCTCAAATGTCCATGAAGCCCATGTTTTCATGCGTATCAATTCTGCAATTACTAACAATAGTATTCTAGTAAATTTGATAAAGTTTAGCGGTATTTTCTTTTTTTTATTAATTTGGGCTTCATAATTCTAAACTGCCCAGTAAAAATATTGCTAGCAAAAAAAAAAAAAAAAAAAAGTCAATGACCTAATGGTTTAAATAATTCATACACCAAAAACTTACAGACAATGATTTGATTGAACGTGCCATGTGAAGTGAAAATGACGAGATCCAATCCAGTAAGAGTCGTGAAGAATTGTGTTTATTCTCATAGCTATTGATAATTATGCTGCAATATGATACACCTTGATTCAGAAATCTATTACTTATTCAACCTTTTTAAACATAGTCCAAATTTGTGGATCCAAAAGTCTTATAAAACGATTTTGGTAAGAAAACGTGTTTGAAAGATCTCACTAAAGTGAACGGATCAATGAAATAAATGGTAGGACTTTTGATGAACAAGGCACAGTTGCCAGTTGCCATTGACAGGGAAGCTGTTTAATAAGCCATTACTAAAATGGAAGTCCAAATCGTTTTCTTGATAAATTTACAATAGAAGGCACCAGAAGTTAAAATAGCCTGAATTTATGGCTGTTAGAAGTCTATTTACCAAGTATACCAGCTTAATTTACAACTCTTTACAGGGTGTAAAGCAATTTCACCAGTAGTCTTTGCAGGAACAAGAACCATTGTCAAAATGATGGAAACGATTTTGATCTCTCACAATAATGCGATGTCTACAAACCTTAGAAACCAGCTTCATGAAGCTATGACAGTCGCAGCAAATCCTAAGGTTCTTTACTATGTGAATAGGAGTATCCTTGCTTGTGTTTAGTAGTCCAAATGCTAGTGCCATCTTCTCACTATGAAGGTAAAGCAAACTTTCTTTACTATTCTCCTCAACATCTTGAAGAACTTGACTCAGGTCAGGCTCATATCCTTCCAACTTTAGCCTTGAAACTAACTGCTCTATCTTTACGATAATCTCACTATTATATCTTAAATCCATGTCTTTTGCAACGAGGAATTGATGAACCTTCCCATCTATAAGGATTGAACTGCACCCAGGAATTTTTCTTACACCTCTGTGTTTCATCAGTAGTCTAACCTTGCTAACATCATCCCATCTTCCAGCCTTGGCATAAATATTTGATAGCAAAACATAACTACTTGAGTCTTTTGGGTCCAACTTTATTGCTTGTATGGCAGCAATTTCACCGATGACAACATTACTGAGCTTCACACTGGCACTAAGGAGAGACTTCCAAGCTAAAACATCAGCCTCTATAGGCATATGTTGTATAACTGCAAGTGCATCAGCTAAATATCCTGCCCTGCCATATAGATCAACCAGACATCCATAGTGTTGAAGCTTAGGAACAATGTTGTACTTCTCTTGCATGATTTTGAAATAAAATTGGCCCTCATCGACTAAACCTGCATGACCGAAAGCATTCAAGAGCCCCACGAAAGTAATCTCATCGGGCTTAATATCCATCCTTTCCAAGTCAAGAAAGATTTCAAGGGCTTGTTGACCAAGGCCATTGATTGCAAGACCAGATATCATAGAATTCCAATCCCCAATGTTTCTTTCACGCGATACTCTCCCAAAGATATCATATGCATTCTCTATGTAACCACATTTCGAGTACATATCTATTAGCGCAGATGCAATGAACCCAGAACTCAATTTCATCTTATTTGCACATATATAAGCATGCAACCATTTCCCTTCTTCAATGAAACCCAAATCAGCAATGGCTGCAAGAACACTAACAATAGCAGGAACATCAGGTTTAACTCCTAGACTCAACATCTCTCTAAATAAATCCAATGCTTCAATAGGACGATGATTACTCACATACGCAGAAATCATTGATGTCCAAGTAACCACATCCTTTTCGCTCGTCATCCTAAAAACCTCCTCAGCAAGCTCACAGCTCCCAGACTTACCATATCCATCAATCATCGCATTACAAGAAACCAAGTCCCTTTCAGGCATCTCCTCAAACAACCTACTTGCCAACTCAATCTCCCCCGCCCTCAAGTAACCCGAGAGCATTGAATTCCAAGAAATCAAATCTCTCTCAGGCATTTTATCAAACACGCGTCTCGCCGACTCAATCTCCCCCAGTTCTAAGTACATTCTAACCACAGAATTGGACACAAATGGATCACACAACAAATCAGTTTTCAAGACTTGGGCAAAAACTTGCTGCCCTTCTTTAATTGCACTCAATTTACCACAGGCTTTTAACACACAAGGAAGAGAAAATGAAATTCCATTCAACTCATTCAAACAAGAAAGCATATGAACATAAAGAGTAATAGATTCTAACGGGTCACCATTATCACAACAACCCTTTATAAGTACGTAAAAGATAAAGTAATTGGGGCTATTGATTCTGTTAAATACAGAAGAAGCGTAGGCTAAGCTATGTGGGAGACGAGAGAGAGCACAAAAAGCAATGAGTTTGCTTACAGTGAAAGTGTGATTAACCAAATTGGTTTTGATCAAGTAAGCGTGGATTTGCTGCACTTGTTTCATAGTTTTGCATTTGTATAAGTTCGCAGGTATTGTTACTGGGACTGGAATGGCTGCAGTCATTGTTGTTTACTGTTTAGGCTTCCCGCCCTTTACTTCCTGCTTGTCGATTTGAGACTTCTATTTAGACATGTAAAGGCCAAGATGCTGTTCATAATAGGCCAGCCCATACAAATAGTATATCATGTTGTCAAGGCCCAGAACGGCGCAATGGGCATGGAACCAATGGGCCGCACCGGGACCAAGCCTAAGCTCCAATGAGTTAGCACGAAACTTTTATATTAATTGGATTTTGTATTTGGGTCAATAAAAAGCTTGGAAGATTAAAATTACTAATTGGATCCCAATTTTATATTAATTTTCATTCTATCTTAAGTTCAATCTTTCTATACCGGAAAACTCTTATTTATAAAACAAAATATTATTTGAATAACAAATGTTCGAATAATTGAGATCGAACGATTCCTTAATAGGATAACCTTAACTCTTTTAAATCAGAGTTATGGGTTCCATATCTATGAATCATGATCCATTATTTACAAGTCATGTCTCCCAACATACAGGAATATTAACTTACCCTCATGATGGCTTCATTCCATTATTTAAAAGTCATGTCTCCAACTAGGATATACATTAAGGTATCTATCTTAAAATTTAATTCTGATAGCCAAGATAAGCTATCTCTTCAACAGGATATAGATTGTCCAGTTTTATTCCATTGACTTGCGGACCGTGTATTTAAACATGTCCACATATGAACCCCTCATATGTCCAATTGAAGGTTTGGTTTAACATGGTTTAGGACATCTAGTATACTTGCAAATATTTAATAACATGAAATAAAATTCCTTTATTACATAATCAAAATGTTGTTAATACATAAAAATTATCTAGCCCTAGGGCATTAATTTTATGGCCTTGATTCTATGCCGATGGCTCCTCAGTAATATGTCCATTACAGATGCGTAAAATTTAATGCATGAAATAATATTAAATTATATGTTTATTTATTCTTATGAGTTACTATGAGGTTAAAGTCCTTTAATTGCGCGGAACAAGGAGTGTAACTAAAATTAATGACCATGTTTCATTGGATGTTAGTAGCCTTAACCACATGCCTCTACAACAAAAATTTTGAAATTCTAAGTTCTTATATTTTTGTGGGTTTAATTGCGTTGATTCTAACAATAATAAATTAAAAAAAGTTTTCGAGTTTATTTAAAATGTTTAATTTTCTTTAGTTATATGAAAATTAAAATGATTTTGTGTAATGAGTCAAAATAGTCTAAAGAATATATTTTAGATCACATGATTATTATACTTTTAGCTTTGAAAAGAGTATACTACTAAATAATTATTGTTAGAGTAATCGACTTTTTCCCACCCAACGTTTGTCTTAATGACAATTTCTCCCCTAAAAAAGTTTCAAAACACCACTTTTTCATTCAAAGTTAACATTCCGTTACTATGTGACAAAAATTATCTCTATCACCTTCATTTAAATCTTTGGCCTCCTTTCTACAAAACTCATTTCACTTCGATACATGATTTTTCTCCGATTGTTAGACACGACAAAACTAGAGTTTCTTATTTTTAGTTGATTTCTAGCCAATTCCAACAGTAAATATTTAATCGATCACTACTATTTGATCCACCGAACTCCACTTTATAAAAACCCTCTTACCCTGACTTCTAGTAATTCACCAAACGTCAACTGAGAAAATGAAATGCATTTTAGGTATTAACGAAATATAGACTTTTAGTGGAAAAGTGGTATTTTGAAACTCTGTAAAGTGAAAAAGTGTTACTAAGGCAAATCTTGGGTGAGAAAAAGTCGTTTACTCTTATTGTTATCATATATGACTCAATTCTCTTAAGAATTAATAGTACCCTTCAACAAATTTGATTAAATTAGTATCTTCCTTTTAACAAATTGATGAAGCCCTCCTTAAATAATAACTTTCTCATTAAAGTTATTAAAATTTCAGATGTTAGAAATTAGAATGATTTAAGGCCAACTCTTTTAACAATAGAAATTGTAGTTCAAATAAGGGGCTATCAGGTTATTAACTTTCTATGTGTGTGGTGTCTAGGGAGTAAATAAAAAGGAAAATCAGGTGGCATCGATCGGGGCAGGGGTTGGGTGTATAATGTTAATATTGGATAATTCCTGGGGCCATATAAGGGTCCCCCGACCTTTTTATTAATAGGCCTTACCCATTTGAAATAAGCCCATTTATCATAATTCTTAAAATTTAAGTCTAGACTTGTTTATTATTATATATATTTTTTGCCCATGGTCTTAATTTCTTAACAGTTTATCAGCCCAGGCCCGTTTAGAAGGGAATCGGACCCTGGTCACGTAATAGCAATTTGTAAGACAAACTCTAAAATGTTGCGTAATTATCTTTACATGTATAATGAAAATTGTTCAAACCCATAACTTAAGTCATCGCTGTGAAGATTGAGTAAGATTCCAAGAAAAATTAAGAAAAAGTGGAAGAGAGATTTGTTGATAGAATCTGGATCTGCGTTATTTTAAACTCACTGTAGCTCAGCTCACTTTACTCTTTTATACGTAAAAGAGTAAAGTGAGAGTTAGTTTACAATCTGAGCTTAAGCTAAAACAAAACTACACTGTTTCTGTACAACTTTCCACAAGCCCTCACAAGTTTGATAGTTAATCAAATAACACCCATTTTACACTACATTCTAACATTCCCCCTTAAACTGATCTGGGGTAATGTTTTGGGTATTCTGATGTTCAATTTTCTGCGATCACACCAGTTTGCATTCCTTTGACTTTACATTCTATCATCCCCCTTAAGATCTGGAGTAGTTCTGGGTATTCTGATCTTCAAAAACTTCTGCTAAAAAAAAAACTTGCATTTGCTGATCTTCAACCTTCGCTGATTCAATATTGTAGATACTATTGAAAATGCAATGTTAAAAAAAAAAAAAAAAAAAACAAACTCCAAGCAAATTGAAGAAAGCTACAACTCCAGCACTTGCTGGTTTACATCTCAGCAAAAAAAAAAAAAAAAAAAAAAAAAAAGGTAGAACCAGTGCTAACAGTTTAGCCAGTTCAAACTCCAAGCAACATTTAAAAACCACCAGTAGAAGTACAACTCCAACTTCTCAACTTTCAATTTTCATTTACACAAAATCATCACACTGAACTAACAACCAGGAAAATTTCAAGCAACATTTAAAACCACCAGTAGAATTACAACTCCAACTTCTCATCATCGCACTGAACTAACAACCAGGCAAACTTCAAGCAACATTTAAAACCACCAGTAGAATTACAACTCCAACTTCTCAACTTTCAATTTTCATTTACACAGAAATCATCACACTGAACTAACAACCAAACAGCATTCCAAGACACAAAATCATCACATTGAACTAACAACCAGGCAGCATTCCAGGAACCATTTTTAGCCAGACCTTACAACCAATCTAACAACCATCTGCCCACTGAGCTAACAACCATTAGCATTTCAGAAACCATTTTAGCCAGACCTTACAACCAATCTGACAGCCATCTACCAGCTGAACTAACAACCATCAGCATTCCAGAAACCATTTTAACCAGACCTTACAACCAATTTGACAACCATCTGCCAACTGAACTAACAATCATCAGCATTTCAGAAACCATTTTAGCCAGACCTTATAGCCAAACTGACAACCATCTGCCAATTGAACTGACAACCACCAGCATTCCAGAAACTATATTGAACCAGACATTACAACCAATCTACAAACAACCATCAACAGGAACTCTCAAATTTACACAGAACAAACAACCACTTGTATTTCAGAAAAAAAAATTCATTTAGAGAGTGACATCCAGAACAGTTCAGTAAGTGATCTTGAGCATTGTCATTTTCTTCTTGATTCAACTTCCTCTTGACTAATAACATTCAGTTTACTTCTCAATTTAGTGAATTGAGTAACAAATAATGCCTTTGTCAGTAAGTCAGCAATCTGCAGTTTGGAAGGCACATATTGGATAGTTAACTTCTTTGCAAGAACCTGCTCTCTAACATAATGTGCATCTATCTCTATATGCTTAGTTCTAGCATGAAACACTGGATTGGCTGCCAAAGCTGCAGCACTTATATTATCACACCAAATGATAGGTGTGACTAAAACGAATAATCCTAACTCTACAAACATACTTTGGAGCCATGCAATTTTGGTGGCTGTTTGAGCTAGAACTCTATATTCAGCCTAGGTTGATGAAAGAGCAACAACCTTTTGTTTTCTAGAGCTCCACTGAATTAAATTTGGTCCCATATACACACAACATCCACTAGTGGACCTCCTGTCTTCCATGTTACTGCCCCAATCCGCATCAGCATAGCATTATATAGTTAAAATGCTTGTTGCCTTAAAATGCAGTCCATAATTCAAGGTACTTTTAATGTATCTTAGAATTCTCTTACACGCTTGCCATTCAAGATCTATGGGAGCTTGCAAAAACTGACTTAGTTTGTTGACTAGAAAACTAATATCAGGTCGTGTAAGTGTCAAATACTGTAGAGCACCCACTGTGCTCTTGTATAAACTTGGATCAACAAATAACTCACTATCAGTGGAATATAGCTTGGTTCCTACTACCATTGGAGTTGTACAAGCATGACAATCCAACATTTTTGTTTTAGACAGTAGATCAATAGCATATTTTCTCAGTTTCGGGTGAATTCCAGTAGTAGTTCGTAGTGCTTCCAGTCCCCAAAAATAGGACAAAGATCCAAGTGTTTTAAGTGAAAATTCAGCATTTAGATCTTCCATAAGCTGAGTAATGAAGGAGTTATCTGACCCTGTTATAAGAATATCGTCTACATACATAAGCACATAGGTGAGATGAAAATTCTGTTTAAACACAAATAAACTACTGTGAGAAACTGAATTGTGAAACCCTTTCCTAAGAAGAGCTGTTTTCAGCTTGTCAAACCATGCTCTTGGAGCTTGATTGAGTCCATATAGAGCTTTATGCAATTTGCACACATAGGTTGACTTAATGGGATCCTCAAAACCAAAAGGCTGTTGCA